AAATCACATAATTCGGAAGTAATTTCCGAGGATATAGTAAGCACATATAGATTAAACATTAGTAATAAAGACACATATACTTTTACGCGTATATACACGTAGGCACTTATCCGTATTTATATACTTATACATATACGTATATACTCTAATTTATTACTATGGGTTACAAGTTTCCTCAACCCGAGGGGAGTACGCCTATAACATCATAGATCTAAACTATCGATATACATATACATATACTTATATATATACATACTTATACCTCACAAGAGTAAAACACATTATTCAAATAATCATCATGAATTTCAATAATTCACATAATACCTATTTCAAGGACTATAGAAAATCAAATCTAGTAGAAGTACTAGGACATAGAAAGTTTCAAGAACAACTTATAGTTCTAAATATATACTAGTCTTTGTATCTTACTTGTAAGTACTCTAATAATGGTTCTCTAGATGTAACATCATAATCTATATTCATTACCATATTAAATCATGTCTCAAGAGTTTAAATCATGCTCACAAAGGACCCCTTTAATTCAAAGAAATTCGTTTTTAGGAAAATCGGGCAGTTTTGACATCTTAACTTTGAAAATACATTTCTCTTAGACCATAACTTCACAAATTCTGAAACTTTAACACAATACTCCTATATCAGTGAAAAAGACTCCTTTAAAACAGTTTTCCAAGAAAACAAATAGCCTAAGAGAAATAAGTAAAATAGTACAGTAGTATGGTCACACTTTCAGAAACAGAACCAACCACTTTAAAAGTACTCAATAAATCACCCTTTTGTTAAAACACTGCACACTTTTGTCGAAAACTGGTTTTATAAGTTATAAATATATTCCAAGTGGAATGAAGGAAATCAAAATAAGAAAACATCGATTTTAGAAGCAAATACTCAGCTGACTCAAAGGCTGTGCAGGTTTAGTAAATAGTTCATATCTTAATCATCTGAAATCCGATTGATGATTAAAATATATCAAATTAAAGAGAACAGAAAGATCTAGTTACCCATGAAATTTCGTGATTTTAGGAAAACAGGGCATCTGTGAAACATGCAGTAAACTCCGAGACTGAAAACCTGAAAATTCATTAGTAATCTATATCTACATCTTTGATCAAAACAGATCTGGCAGTTTAGGCACTATAACTTCAGAAATTCATATCTCCTAATCCGTAGATCCAAACCTGATGAAATTTGGAACACATGTTCATATCTAAGTCTAGTTTATAGGGTTAAAACAGTTTATGAAAAAACTCATCTATGTAAGAGATATAATCAATTTAGTGCAGTAACATAAGCAGAAATTCAGAACAGATCCACTAACTTTAAAAATACCAAATAATTCATCACTTAATCCAAAAATTACGAAATTTCGTAGAATATTAGTTTCATAAGTACATAATAATATTCGAGTGAAATCACTTCAATAAGAGTAGTATAAAAAGCTATTTAACACATAATTCGTGGATGACTCCGAAACTGTGCAGATTCAGAAAACGATTCATAACTCACTCAATATAAATCCGATTTATGCATAATTTATCTCAACATGAAGCTAACCGAAAGATCTAGACTACCACCAAATTTCATAATTTTATCTTATGGATTACCCGATGAGACTTGCAATACAATCAGAAGCTACGAAACTGAAATTCAAGTAGTGTTCATCAAGAACTTTATCTTCTAAAGCTCAAAATTAAAACCTCAAACATAAAATTTATTAAAACACATATAATTTATATTAGTTAGGTTATTATTTCAGTAAAGACCAAGGTCCTTACCCAAGAGCAAGAAATCGAAGATGGAGGAGTAAGAAAACCAAAGGCTCGGTGGATTTTCGGCGGGTTTGGGTTGGATGTTCTTGGATGGCTTTGGGGCTGAGTTTGATGGATGTTAAGGGGCTGTTTCTTGAAGATTTTTAGCAGAATTGAAGAAGAGGGAGTTTCTCTTGGAGAGGAATTGAAGAGAGGAAGGAGAGAGAAAGGGGCTTGATGGGAGCTTCTTGAAGTGCAAGAAGAGAATTCTTCTTGGGGCTGTTTTTGCTCGATGGAGAGGGAGAGGAGAGGGAGAGGAGAGGGCCTTTTGGATGATGTTTTGGTGTGTAGAAAATGTGAAGAGGAGGGGTTTATTTATAGAGGAGATGAGGCCCTTACTTGCAATATAAAATACATTGGGGTTTTATTAGCAATTTGGGAGAACATGCCTTGGGGCTTCTTAGCAATATAGAAGAGAAGAGGGGAGTCTTTAGTAATTAATAAACTTAGGGGGCAGTTCACACACACAACACACGGTCACATATACACACATAAGAGACTTTTAATTACTATCATTAACCCATATAATTCACATAAATTATAATTAGGATACCAATTAATCACATCATCTCAGTCCTAGATTAATTATCAATTAAAGCACATAATTCATTTAATCACATAAACACATAGAGAACGTATAAATTGCTATTCGATTCATGAAATGCACGTATATTCGTATTTACCATATGTTTAATATAATCATATATAAATGCTTATGAAAATGCGGGCTGTTACACAATTTGTACCTATAGAATACTAAATCCACCAATGAAAACAGAAATATAAATTAATTCATACAAAAATCGACGTAAACGTAAACGTTGAGTGTTATTTCTACACTCCACTGTATCTTTTGTATCTTGTGTTTTTGCTGTTGTTTGGTTATCCGTATTAAAGTCCTAGCGTTGTACTTCGTGTTTTTAAGAACGTTGTTGTGAATGCACTTTTGCGCATGTTTTTTTACATGTATGTTTGTGCATGTCCATTTGAGCAAGTGTGTTTGTGCATGTTTGTTGATTTGTTTTAATGTCCTAGGATTGTAGTTTGTGTTTTCATGATCCTTTTTGCGAATGCAGTTTTGCGTGAGTAATTTTGTGCATGATTTTGTACTTTTACTTATGTGCGTATCTTTTGTAGCGAGTGTTTTTGTGCACGTTTCTTGATGCGCATTCGTGTCCTCAAACTGTAGCGGGTATTTTCATGATCGCTGTTGGAATCCAAATTTGACCATGTTCGAGTCCGAATTTGGAAATTTGACATTAGACAGGAATTGTAGCCAGCTGAAATAGCTTTCTAATGCCGCCAGAACCAGTCGATTTGGATTCCGGATGAGAAAGTTACGCTCGACTTCGTGGACACTACCGAAGATGTTGAGGGATCATCTCTTCTATTTTGATTTTATTTTCCTAATTGCAACTCTTTCATACTCTTTGATCATTGTTGCTTCATGGACACCTAATTATCAATTTGTACCTATAGAATACTAAATCCACCAATTAAAAAAATATATAAATTAATCCATAAACAAATCCACGTAAACGTAAACGTTGAGTGTTATTTCTACACTCCACTATATCTTTTGTATCTTGTGTTTTTGCTGTTGTTTGGTTATGCGTATTAAAGTCCTAGTGTTGTACTTCGTGTTTTTAAGAACGTTGTTCTGAATGCACTTTTGCGCATGTTTTTTCACATGTATGTTTGTGCATGTCCATTTGAGCGAGTGTGTTTGTGCATGTGTGTTGATTTGTTTTAATGTCCTAGGATTGTAGTTTGTGTTTTCATGATCCTTTTTGCGAATGCAGTTTTGCGTGAGTAATTTTGTGCATGATTTTGTACTTTTACTTATGTGCGTATCTTTTGTGCGAGTGTTTTTGTGCACGTTTCTTGATGCGCATTCGTGTCCTCGAACTGTAGCGGGTATTTTCATGATCGCTGTTGGAATCCAATTTTGACCATGTTCGAGTCCGAATTTGGAAATTTGACATTAGACGGGAATTGTAGCCAGCTGAAATAGCTTTCTAATGCCGCCGGAACCCGTCGATTTGGATTCCGGATGAGAAAGTTACGCTCGACTTCGTGGACACTACCGAAGATGTTGAGGGATCCTCTCTTCTATTTTGATTTTATTTTCCTAATTGCAACTCTTTCTTACTCTTTTATCATTGTTGCTTCATGGACACCTAATTATCAATTTGTACCTATAGAATACTAAATCCACCAATTAAAAGAATATATAAATTAATCCATAAAGAAATCCACGTAAACGTAAACGCTGAGTCTTATTTCTACACTCCACTGTATCTTTTGTATCTTGTGTTTTTGATGTTGTTTGGTTATGCGTATTAAAGTCCTAGTGTTGTACTTCGTGTTTTTAAGAACGTTGTTCTGAATGCACTTTTGCGCATGTTTTTTTACATGTATGTTTGTGCATGTCCATTTGAGCGAGTGTGTTTGTGCATGTGTGTTGATTTGTTTTAATGTCCTAGGATTGTAGTTTGTGTTTTCATGATAAATTAATTCATACAAAAATCGACGTAAACGTAAACGTTGAGTGTTATTTCTACACTCCACTGTATCTTTTGTATCTTGTGTTTTTGCTGTTGTTTGGTTATCCGTATTAAAATCCTAGCGTTGTACTTCGTGTTTTTAAGAACGTTGTTGTGAATGCACATTGACCATGTTCGAGTCCGAATTTGGAAATTTGACATTAGACGGGAATTGTAGCCAGCTGAAATAGCTTTCTAATGCCGCCGGAACCAGTCGATTTGGATTCCGGATGAGAAAGTTATGCTCGACTTCGTGGACACTACCGAAGATGTTGAGGGATCCTCTCTTCTATTTTGATTTTATTTTCCTAATTGCAACTCTTTTCTTACTCTTTGATCATTTTTATCTTCATGGACACCTAATTATCAATTTGTAGCACCCTCAATGATTTAAAAGAAATTTTAGAAAACACAGACTTTATTAAAATCTTTTGGAACAAATTTGAACTTTGAGAAAAACCACTTTAAAATTTTAGAACCATTTCCCTTTACTTCAAATCTAACCCACAATCGGAAAATAAGATTTTTCATAGAGAGTGTACAATAACATGAAAGGGATTTTGAAAGAAATCTCGAGGTGGCGGAATAATCCACATAAAACATTACCGGGGTTTAGAAAACGCTTGTAAGACAGCGGAAGGAAATAAACTTTATTTAAGATACCCCCGTTTAATAGACTGGGTTCCAATCAGAGTACAAAATAATATTATACTATGTGATTAGTTTTTCGATAAAACGTTGCGTAGAAAATACGAGTAAAATAATCTAGGCACCAAGGCTCGTGATTCCTCGAACTCCTCTCCGCCGGCCTCCTACATAGCTTGGAGAACCTGAAAAGATAATTTGCATAAAAGCATGAGCCCAAACACTGGCTCAGTAAGGACATTAGTCTTAGTCTGACGAACTCACGCCTCTCTCATCGTATCTCTCACGACCTATGGGAGTCCTAAAGTATTTGTCTATGTTCTTTTCTGTCTATGTTGTTTTACGTCATAATTAAATTATACTATATTATTTCGTATGCAAGTATGCACTTGTTGGGATCCCTAACGTAAGCATCGGCAATAGACGTTTATATGCTGAGCCCGGTCATTCGGTGGGAGCTAACCACCCTGTTGTTCTATAGTAACTGTTGTTGGGATACCGGCCCCCCGTATCCCGTGTCTATTCAACCGTAGCAACGTTACAACTTTGACTTTTCTTTAGTAGACCATGCAATACCAATTAATGACTCGATGAATGCACGCAAGTCAAAGATCTTAATAGCAACACGATAATAATTCCAATTATATCATTCACGTAATTCGAAGGAATTAAATCACATAATTCGGAAGTAATTTCCGAGGATATAGTAAGCACATATAGATTAAACATTAGTAATAAAGACACATATACTTTTACGCGTATATACACGTAGGCACTTATCCGTATTTATATACTTATACATATACGTATATACTCTAATTTATTACTATGGGTTACAAGTTTCCTCAACCCGAGGGGAGTACGCCTATAACATCATAGATCTAAACTATCGATATACATATACATATACTTATATATATACATACTTATACCTCACAAGAGTAAAACACATTATTCAAATAATCATCATGAATTTCAATAATTCACATAATACCTATTTCAAGGACTATAGAAAATCAAATCTAGTAGAAGTACTAGGACATAGAAAGTTTCAAGAACAACTTATAGTTCTAAATATATACTAGTCTTTGTATCTTACTTGTAAGTACTCTAATAATGGTTCTCTAGATGTAACATCATAATCTATATTCATTACCATATTAAATCATGTCTCAAGAGTTTAAATCATGCTCACAAAGGACCCCTTTAATTCAAAGAAATTCGTTTTTAGGAAAATCGGGCAGTTTTGACATCTTAACTTTGAAAATACATTTCTCTTAGACCATAACTTCAAAAATTCTGAAACTTTAACACAATACTCCTATATCAGTGAAAAAGACTCCTTTAAAACAGTTTTCCAAGAAAACAAATAGCCTAAGAGAAATAAGTAAAATAGTACAGTAGTATGGTCACACTTTCAGAAACAGAACCAACCACTTTAAAAGTACTCAATAAATCACCCTTTTGTTAAAACACTGCACACTTTTGTCGAAAACTGGTTTTATAAGTTATAAATATATTCCAAGTGGAATGAAGGAAATCAAAATAAGAAAACATCGATTTTAGAAGCAAATACTCAGCTGACTCAAAGGCTGTGCAGGTTTAGTAAATAGTTCATATCTTAATCATCTGAAATCCGATTGATGATTAAAATATATCAAATTAAAGAGAACAGAAAGATCTAGTTACCCATGAAATTTTGTGATTTTAGGAAAACAGGGCATCTGTGAAACATGCAGTAAACTCCGAGACTGAAAACCTGAAAATTCATTAGTAATCTATATCTACATCTTTGATCAAAACAGATCTGGCAGTTTAGGCACTATAACTTCAGAAATTCATATCTCCTAATACGTAGATCCAAACCTGATGAAATTTGGAACACATGTTCATATCTAAGTCTAGTTTATAGGGTTAAAACAGTGTATGAAGAAACTCATCTATGTAAGAGATATAATCAATTTAATGCAGTAACATAAGCAGAAATTCAGAACAGATCCACTAACTTTAAAAATACCAAATAATTCATCACTTAATCCAAAAATTACCAAATTTCGTAGAATATTAGTTTCATAAGTACATAATCATATTCGAGTGAAATCACTTCAATAAGAGTAGTATAAAAAGCTATTTAACACATAATTCGTGGATGACTCCGAAACTGTGCAGATTCAGAAAACGATTCATAACTCACTCAATATAAATCCGATTTATGCATAATTTATATCAACATGAAGCTAACCAAAAGATCTAGACTACCACCAAATTTCATAATTTTATCTTAGGGATTACCCGATGAGACATGCAATACAATCAGAAGCTACGAAACTGAAATTCAAGTAGTGTTCATCAAGAACTTTATCTTCTAAAGCTCAAAATTAAAACCTCAAACATAAAATTCATTAAAACACATATAATTTATATTAGTTAGGTTATTATTTCAGTAAAGACCAAGGTCCTTACCCAAGAGCAAGAAATCGAAGATGGAGGAGTAAGAAAACCAAAGGCTCGGTGGATTTTCGGCGGGTTTGGCTTGGATGTTCTTGGATGGCTTTGGGGCTGAGTTTGATGGATGTTAAGGGGCTGTTTCTTGAAGATTTTTAGCAGAATTGAAGAAGAGGGAGTTTCTCTTGGAGAGGAATTGAAGAGAGGAAGGAGAGAGAAAGGGGCTTGATGGGAGCTTCTTGAAGTGCAAGAAGAGAATTCTTCTTGGGGCTGTTTTTGCTCGATGGAGAGGGAGAGGAGAGGGAGAGGAGAGGGCCTTTTGGCTGATGTTTTGGTGTGTAGAAAATGTGAAGAGGAGGGGTTTATTTATAGGGGAGATGAGGCCCTTACTTGCAATATAAAATACATTGGGGTTTTATTAGCAATTTGGGAGAACATGCCTTGGGGCTTCTTAGCAATATAGAAGAGAAGAGGGGAGTCTTTAGTAATTAATAAACTTAAGGGGCAGTTCACACACACAACACACAGTCACATATACACACATAAGAGACTTTTAATTACTATCATTAACCCATATAATTCACATAAATTATAATTAGGATACCAATTAATCACATCATCTCAGTCCTAGATTAATTATCAATTAAAGCACATAATTCATTAAATCACATAAACACATAGAGAACGTATAAATTGCTATTCGATTCATGAAATGCACGTATATTCGTATTTACCATATGTTCAATATAATCATATATAAATGCTTATGAAAATGCGGGCTGTTACAATCTTTCCCCCTTAAATAAATTTTGTCCTCAAAATTTGAAAAGTTCCCCGTAAAAGACGATGAGGCCAAGTTACAAAATAGCGTTTCTTGAATAGGGGGTTAACAATAATTAGGAAAACGTCTTCCTACCTTTTTAAAAGTTCGCCTTGATTCCAAAATATTTTGTAAATAAATAGGAAAACATGCTTCTTGTAAAAATTCCGGTAAGAGTTTTAGCACGACTATGATAGCTTTTAGGGAAAATAGTAACCGAGTCGAGTTGAAAATTCTAATTTTCATAAAAACAAAACTAAATTTTGAAATATTTTAAAAATTTCTCTTACCTTCTTTTGAATGTTTTGAACGCCTCTGGGCTGCATGATATGAATGCGTTGTCCGATATGCAACACTGATCTTATCTAGTCCTTATATGCACATAAGTTTCACACAAGATACATATCATCAACTTTAATACATGGCATCGCATATATCCACATAGATTCTACCAAAAATGTTAGATGTAAACTATACTCTAAAATGCGCACACACGATTCATATAGTAAGAATTTAACTTTCAAACTTTCGAAAATCATCCCTTCTAAGTATTTCATTAATCTCCCCAATTTATTTTACTTAATATCAAAGTGGCATGGTTGAAGTATTTGGAATTCCATTTGGGTACATAAAGATACCAATATTCCACAACAACCCATAAGTAATTCGAAACACCACAAGGCATCACAAATATCAGTCAAGTGACAAACAACCACATAACACACAAGAAATTAACCATCATCACACATCAAATTATGCATTCATGAATATTTACCCACATATAACCAAAATTCCCAACAAGACTAGTAGAGATTCATTTAATTTCCTATATTTTCCTTAAGCTACTAGATCCCAAAATTCTTTAATAGCAAAATTAGGATCAAGGAAACAGATTAGCTTAGAAGATTTCGGGTATTCAGCACAATGCCCCTAAATCTCTGGAAATTACAGTTTTGACCCCAAAAGTTTCAAAACTCACACATGCAATTAAGCTAAAAGTTCCTAATTCAAATTTTCATGGAAATCAACCCTTAATCCATCTGAAGTTTAATGCAGAAAAATCCAGTTAGAAGTTATTTTATGCAGATTTTTCGGAAATTACATATTTCACCCTAGACTCTCTAGATCTATACATGCATGACCCTTAGAAATTCCCAAAAATCCTTTTTCTTACAAAACTTCTTAGGAACTGAAATTGTCCTTTACTAAGTGCTGAAAAACATATTTGGAAAACCATTCAAAATTAATTTCTCAAAAATTGCAGGTTTGCCCCAAAAATCTTTCGGATTACACATGCAACCACACTACAATTTCAAAATCCATTTTTTCATGAAAAACCCCTAAAAATCCGAAAACCTTTATTCAATATATGCAGAAAAATGAAGTTAAAGATTTAATTTATGCAACAATTTCGAAAATTCTATTTTCCACCCCAAAATCCTTTAGATCCATACACGTAGAAAAATCATAATTCATATATATCAATTTTAAATTGCACACAAATACTTAATTTGTAACAAGAGTCGATCATACTTTTTCACATACATGTCACATAATATTAATAGCACACTTAGTCAATTATTTCAGCAAATCGATCATATAATAATCGAACACATAGATTAATCAAGAAATGGACATATGACAAGAACTTAGTGAGAAATCTATAGCATATCACGTAATTCTTTACCGTTGAAATTCACGAAGTTGTAAAGTGATCTTAAAATAATTTGAATTAGACATCATCGAGGGACAGCATTCTTAATTCTTATATTGTTCAAGTAAACCAGGATTAATGTGATCTAATCTTATATATTTCAATACAAGTAGACTACCACAAAATTAGACTCTACCAATTGGGCGCATAAGTAAGAATGTGGTACAATATCCACGATTTATCACTTAACATATGAGGTGCACATAAAAGATTTATTTATACACCCATTAATTCAATTGCTATACTCCTAGATCATCAAGTCCATTCAGAATAAGTTAGAGACAACAATTCATACCACCACTTCATTCAAGCAAATTCAAGAAAAACGAGTTTCTCCTATGAAGAAAATTTCTTTTTAATTTAAGAATCCGACTTAGTAAAAGTCTGAAAGTTTTATTGAAAATTTCGGACTTGGTTGAAACATGCGCTCTATTCCTTAAACATCGAAAACAATCTTTTTCTTTCATAATTCTTATAAATTCGAAAATTTTATAATTACACCATCATCATGACTTTAGATCTTCAAGTTAAACAAACATGCAAGATCAACAAGCATAAAGGTAGAGCATGAATCAATTAACAAAATATCAAATACTTCCCAAAATTATCTTATGGGAACAAATATTTTTCAATACACTAAATAGTTTCACATGCAAATCTCAATCAACGATATTATAGCATGGAATACTCAAAGACAGTTCGAATCACATAAGATTTAATTCTAAGTCAGGAAGTAAAATACCAAACATTTCGGGGTACTTATCTCAAATATTCGATCAATATGGCATACACCAAATTACATAAAACTTCAAAACCACATAAATTATCTACACCTCATTATTAGTAATCAGGAGATTGTAAATCTTACTAAGATCAACTCGAGATATAGTTAATGAGTATAGTGACAAGATCACATAGAATTGTAAGTTCTCCAATTCGAATTAGTCAAAACTAAATATGAATCATACCTCATGACTTAGGCCGGGAATCGGAGGAGGAATCACATGTGCCTTGAGCCATAACGAGGAACCCAGTGTATTAAACACTGCTCTGATACCATGATGTAGCACCCTCAATGATTTAAAAGAAATTTTAGAAAACACAGACTTTATTAAAATCTTTTGGAACAAATTTGAACTTTGAGAAAAACCACTTTAAAATTTTAGAACCATTTCCCTTTACTTCAAATCTAACCCACAATCGGAAAATAAGATTTTTCATAGAGAGTGTACAATAACATGAAAGGGATTTTGAAAGAAATCTCGAGGTGGCGGAATAATACACATAAAACATTACCGGGGTTTAGAAAACGCTCGTAAGACAGCGGAAGGAAATAAACTTTATTTAAGATACCCCCGTTTAATAGACTGGGTTCCAATCAGAGTACAAAATAATATTATACTATGTGATTAGTTTTTCGATAAAACGTTGCGTAGAAAATACGAGTAAAATAATCTAGGCACCAAGGCTCGTGATTCCTCGAACTCCTCTCCGCCGGCCTCCTACATAGCTTGGAGAACCTGAAAAGATAATTTGCATAAAAGCATGAGCCCAAACACTGGCTCAGTAAGGACATTAGTCTTAGTCTGACGAACTCACGCCTCTCTCATCGTATCTCTCACGACCTATGGGAGTCCTAAAGTATTTGTCTATGTTCTTTTCTGTCTATGTTGTTTTACGTCATAATTAAATTACGCTATATTATTTCGTATGCAAGTATGCACTTGTTGGGATCCCTAACGTAAGCATCGGCAATAGACGTTTATATGCTGAGCCCGGTCATTCGGTGGGAGCTAACCACCCTGTTGTTCTATAGTAACTGTTTTTGGGATACCGGCCCCCCGTATCCCGTGTCTATTCAACCGTAGCAACGTTACAACTTTGACTTTTCTTTAGTAGACCATGCAATACCAATTAATGACTCGATGAATGCACGCAAGTCAAAGATCTTAATAGCAACACGATAATAATTCCAATTATATCATTCACGTAATTCGAAGGAATTAAATCACATAATTCGGAAGTAATTTCCGAGGATATAGTAAGCACATATAGATTAAACATTAGTAATAAAGACACATATACTTTTACGCGTATATACACGTAGGCACTTATCCGTATTTATATACTTATACATATACGTATATACTCTAATTTATTACTATGGGTTACAAGTTTCCTCAACCCGAGGGGAGTACGCCTATAACATCATAGATCTAAACTATCGATATACATATACATATACTTATATATATACATACTTATACCTCACAAGAGTAAAACACATTATTCAAATAATCATCATGAATTTCAATAATTCACATAATACCTATTTCAAGGACTATAGAAAATCAAATCTAGTAGAAGTACTAGGACATAGAAAGTTTCAAGAACAACTTATAGTTCTAAATATATACTAGTCTTTGTATCTTACTTGTAAGTACTCTAATAATGGTTCTCTAGATGTAACATCATAATCTATATTCATTACCATATTAAATCATGTCTCAAGAGTTTAAATCATGCTCACAAAGGACCCCTTTAATTCAAAGAAATTCGTTTTTAGGAAAATCGGGCAGTTTTGACATCTTAACTTTGAAAATACATTTCTCTTAGACCATAACTTCAAAAATTCTGAAACTTTAACACAATACTCCTATATCAGTGAAACAGACTCCTTTAAAACAGTTTTCCAAGAAAACAAATAGCCTAAGAGAAATAAGTAAAATAGTACAGTAGTATGGTCACACTTTCAGAAACAGAACCAACCACTTTAAAAGTACTCAATAAATCACCCTTTTGTTAAAACACTGCACACTTTTGTCGAAAACTGGTTTTATAAGTTA